TGCGGGCTCGCGAGGGGCGGCGGTTGCCACGCCCCGTTTGGCCTGCGAGGGGCGGTGCCATGGGCTGCGAGTCCCCGCAGGCCACGGTGGTCGTTGTCACGTGGCCCGCTCGGGCTGCCCTCGTGGGACTACCGGTCCCGGCGTGCAACGTGGGAGGCCGTCCTGCTGTAGTCAGACGCTAACGCCCAGACGCCCGACGCGGCGATCCCGGCATGCCGCGCGGGAGGCCGTCACGTGACCGCCGGCCCTGTCACGGCGGACTGCGGGTCCCCGCGGGCGGGACGCGGGCGGCCTGGCGCGGAGTCTGCAGTCCTTCGTCCCGGCGTCGCCCAGACAGTGCGGTGGGGCTGCAGCGGCTGCTCCGGGGCCGTGGCCGCGCTGCCCGGCGAGGACGCCCCGGACGCCCCGCGGCCCCGACGCGCGGACCGCGGGAAGCCGCCAGCCGCCGCGTCGCGCTCGCAGCCGAGGCGCAGAGAAGCGAGGGGCGGAGACGGTGCCGGGAGCCCGCGGGATCCCCGGGCCGTGAGGACAGAATGGGCAGGCGGCGGGTCGGGAGGACGCCGGCGTAGGCAGACGGTAACTTGAATCTCGGAAGAAGCCCCGTAGGCTCCAGATAGATCTGAGCCGAGGAGGGTTTAGAACAAATGAAACTGGAAACGTCTTTCGTCGGTGTCACCGCTCATGGACGTCAGCTGGCTTGCAAGCTAAGAGAAAATGCAGTGATCAGAGGGTCGGTTCAGAAGAAAGATAAACGGTAAAGGTGCAAGCACCCAGTAGCGGGGGCCCAAGATGCGTGAAGGAACCATTGACCACCGGAGGGAGGCGGAAGTCGGCGGCAGTAATTGTATTCTTCACTACCCAGCTTGGACAGCGGGAAGATCAACACGTGCCTCAAGGACAGAAGGGCAGAAGGGACTGGCTGCGGTGGAGAGCGCCCTGCCCAACGGCCTGTCCACGGGGAACCTTCTTCCCATAGACTAGGTCATAGACCAGGAAACAAGTCTTGGAAAATTGGGGATGACCGACATAATAACCGTGCTTGTTTTCTGACCATGCTGCCTTTAGATTGGAAATCAACAGGAGAAAATTGGGGGAGTTCACAATTGAGTGGAAATTAAGAGACACAGTCCTAAGCACTGAGTCAGAGAAAAAGTTACAGAGGAAATGGAAAAGAGATGAGTGAAAATAAGAAATATGTAATAATACATAATACATATAATTATATATGTTATACGTACAGTATATATATAAATACATAAGTATATGTTACATATTTATATATTATGTATTATATGTCCTATAACTTAATATATAGTATATTATTTAATACATATATAACAAATCCAAAAAAATATAAAGTGAACCCAAATTATGTAACATATATAATAGACATAAACGTATTTAGTATTATGTATATTAATATATATGGGCTATAACTATAGCAGTGCTTAAGAGGGCAACATGGCTGAATACCTACTTTTTACATTTTTAAAAATCTTAAATGTTTCTAATTTTTTGCTGTAGGGACACATGCACTCGTCAGAGAGGGAGAAAGTGAGTAATCATTCTCCAAGGGGAATCTGCGATCCCTTCTCTCTTCTCTTGGGATTTTGGTCACACTTCTGTTGTGATTTTCAAAGCACCTGGTCTAGGAGTCTAACCATGCAATCAGCTATGTGTGATCTAGCCACTTTAAAGTCTGTGCCACCTGCTAACCTGAAATGCCTAAAAATGCTTTTTAAAAATAAGAATTCAAATCAATAATTAACCTCTGGCCATAAGAAATTCGAAAACGTATAAAGCGAACCCAAAGCAAACGAGAAAGACTAGAGAAGAAATAAATGAAAGAATAGAGGGAAAAAATCAATAAAACAAAAGTTGGTTCTTTGAAAAGATCAACAGTTTGACAAATCTTTAGCTGTATTGAACAAGAAAAAAGAAAGCTCAAATTACTAAATAAAGAATGAAACAAAATACCACTTCTGACCTTACCAAAATAAAAGGGATTTTAAGAGAACAACAAATTAGATAACATAGATGAAATGGACAGATTCCTAGTAAAACACCAACAGAAATTGGAGAAAAGTGTAGACTTGTAACAAGTAAAATAATGGAATTAATCATTTTAAAACTTCACACAGAAAGGTCTAGGCCCAGATAGTGTCAATGGCTAGTGTGCCAAACATTTAGAAGTGTTTAGTAATACCTCTTGCAACCTTCCCAAATCAGGAGGGAACTCATTCTATGAGAGCAGTTTTCTGATACCAATTCCAAACAGCTCAGCGTATCAGGAATAAGAGGGAGGCTGTAGCTGATAACAGCGTCTGCAGAGGTAGCTGACGTCACATCTCATGGCAGGAGACTGAGTGCTCTCCCCTAAAGTCAGGGAAAGGAAGCACATGGACTGTGTCCAGTTATGTTTAGTGGTTTACAGAACATTCTAATCAGGGCTATTACACAAGAGGGGAAGCACCCGGACTGGAAGGGGATAAACTATATTTGCAAATGACTTTATATTTTTAAAATCCTTGGGGACCAGCAGATGGCATAATGGTCACATCACTGAATTCCCACATAGTCACCTGCAGTTTAAATCCCAGACTTAGCAGCTTAAGACTCATGCTGGGGGACCAGCAGTTGGCGTAATGGCAATGTTGGTGGACTCCCATGTAGCCAACTGCGGTTCCAGTCCTGGACCTCGTGGCTTAAACTCACGCCAGGCGCGTGTGCATGCATGCCCAAGATCCGAGAGGAGAATGGAGGAGAAAGGATTGTGGCGTGGCCATCTCCCCTGGGATGTGTGTATGATTTCTTGCTTTCTGTCTCTGTCTCTCTTTGGTGAGTGCACATGCCCTAAAGCAAAAACCTCTCCAAAAAATAAATTAAAAATTAAAAGAAGACTTGTGCCAGGCACATGTGTGCATGTGACAAAATACCAGGAGAATGGAGGAGAAAGGATTGTGGCATGGCTATCTCCCTGGGTAGCAGTTCCTCTCTTTTTCTCCCCAATGAGCCAATGAGTGCATGCACCCTATAGCAAAAATCTAAAAAAAAAAAAAAAAATCCTTTTGGGCCAGCCACTGGTATAGTGGTTAAAGTGACATGTGTGCCCCCAAATCCCAAAAGGATGAAGAGAGAAGAAAGGATTTTAGTGTGATCATTTGCCACGGGAAGTGCTCTCTCTCTCTCTCTCTCTCTCTCCAACAAGCACATATGCTCTCTGGCAAACTTAAAAAAAAAAAAAAAAAAAAAAGGTCATATGGAATCCACTGGAAAAGTTTTAGAAATAACCATGTTTAGAAATACTGCAGGGTATAAATTGTATTTCTATATATCAGGAGTGGATGATCCAAAGTAAGAATAAACAAACAATATTATTGATAATGGTATAGAATAAAACCCTGGGCTGGTACAGGAAGCCGAATCCCAAAGAGTCAACTGTAGCTTGAATTTCTGTCCCAGCCACTTGAGAACAAGCCAGGTGTGTGTGTGTGTGTGTGTGTGTGTGTGTGTGCGCGCGCGCGCGCGCTCGTGTGCCGGAAACCCAACAGGATGGAGAAATGGGGGAGAAGGGATTGTGGTATAGCATAACCATACCCTGTTGGGGAGGTGCTTTTTTCCTCTGGTGAGCATATGCATCCTTTGAAAATTAAAACAAAGAAACAAACAACAAATTAACAAAAGTTCAGATGGGAACACTGAAAGCTGCAACATTGTTGAAAGAAAGTGAAGAAAATCTAAATGGGGTGAAAGCATACTGGCCAGAAAGAAACAAGGAAAGTAAGAAAGCAACCC